ATCAATATAGGATACAATTACTAGTTTTACTACTATCGATTACTAAATCTAGTAAACAAATAGTATTCATCGGTTAGATGGTTGGACATTTATTTTGGTGTAAATGATATATGTATATATATTAGCATCCTGTTATCTAATAATGAACCAATATTAATAAAGTAATTATTACAAATTCTACTATCATCTATGTAAACGTTTTACTTAAAACTTCCTGTGACACTTTCTAGGGCAATGTCACCTACATATGAAAACTTGTTTTATATATCTGTTAATAATCTGGCTTAATTAATTTAATCAAATATTTGATCAATTAGTGATATCTAATATAATCTAGATCTTAATTAACATAATTATACTACAACTGAGTGATTTATACTCAAAACATCTAGAGTAAAATATAAGAATTTTCAATAGAAAATTAACATGAAGAAGGTTTAAAGCAGACGGTGTTCAAATGAAACAAAATGAGTTTAACATGCAACTCTGTTGTTAACTAATTGGAGAATAGAAATTGCATAGGACAATGGGGATTCCGTTTCCATCTGCTTGTGTAGTAACTGATTAAAACTGCTAAAATGAATAGAGGAATGGATTAGAGGAGAAGCTTTGAAATCAACTAGAAGCCAATCAGTATTTTGAAATGAATAGCTCTTGCTTCTGTCCTACATTCATGCTTGTTACGAATTATATTCTCTAACACAAATTAGAAATTCGGAATCTAGCTTCATGACCCATGCCCATGCCCATTTCTACCCACATAAAACAAATTATTGGCGAAGGTGGATGTTCCAGAAAACTAAATTTTTTTTTTACCTTTAACTATTTGTTGACAAATAATGATGCATTATTCATTGTGCAATTTGGACTATTTTCTTTTTATTTTTTAAAAAATTGTCTACTCTTTTGTTGAAATAAAATTGCAGTGTTAAAAAAACATGTCATAAAACACTTCATCACATAAAATGGAATGAGTGTATTGTTTATTTATCACACCAATATTAAAACACTTAGCTAAAATAATCAAAATTGAAACATTTATTTAAACATCAAAACTTGACAGTCAAATTAAGATTGGAAAAATTCCTTAAGCTTAAATCAAACCAAATAGTCATAAAAATGATTTCGAGTACATCACTGCCCAAATATGTTGAGCTATTGTTTGACAGAATCAAAGAACAACAGGATATCCATGCTTTACCAGTTACATTCTCAGAGCAAGCCATGCCTTTTGTGCATCTGGTATATATGAAAAAGAGATTGAGATGTAGCACTAAACCATTTGAACCTTCAGGACTTAATCATCTCACTCATGAAATTACACAAAGGTTTTCCACAACTGTTATAGCTACTTGTATTCTCAGAACAAGCCATGTCTTCTGTATATCTGGTATATATGAAAAAGTGATCGAGATGTAGCACCAGGCCATTCGAATCTTCAGGACCTAATAATCACACTGGTGACAATTACACAAAGATTGATCTATCTCACTGCTGTAGTTTATCCATGAAATATGTGCACTAAAAATACTTCATGTCAAACAAGTTTATAGCCGATATCTTGCCAAACGTTTTAACCTTGATGGTACCATTTTATAACAAAATAAAAAAATATTGATGTAAGATTTAAAATATTCACAACTCTGCCAGAAACATGTCATTCATGAATAATTTTATCAATATTCCACTTAATTTCATTATAAAAATATCAAATATATTTATATATTCTAATGATATACTTAGTTGGAATAAAACAAAAAGTGATATATTATTCAAAAGGATATTTAAAAGGTTTCCTAAGCTATTTACAGGTTCCCAGGACTATGAAACCTAGTATTTTGTCATTTCAATTTTTCCAAATGGTATCTAAAATTTCCAATATTCAGAAAAAAAACATATATTCTAAATTGGGGCTGTTGAAATCTGTGTCTTTGACAAGCCAAATCATATTTTAAAATCAGATATCCAACATTTGTGTTGCTCTCTTATAAATTCCTACTTCAGGATGAAGGTGCTGTAGGAATGAATTCCTGAAAGATCATACCTGTCATACTACTCACAATCAAGTTATAATCAGAAGAGCCAGGAGGTGACATAAAAACTGTAAATACACCATAAGTTTCCCAGGGCGCAAAAAAAATGCTGACATGGAGATATTTTGGACAGAAGAGATCAATTTATCAAAATTTGCTTCCAATCTAATGAACCATAAAAGTTTTTGAGATCAAAGAAAATAAAACTGTCAAGATAAAATATGAAAAGGATAAAAAAGTAGAGTTAGCTGTTGATGAAATGTGTTTGAATCTTGCACAACCAGCTTAACTTGTTAATGAGATGTTTTATTATTACTTACATTTTTCAGCAAATTTTGCATAAGTGTCAAAGCTAAGATGTTATTATAAGCTTTTTTAACACTAAGCACATAAAAAGACCAACAGCTTACTATTTTCTGGAAAATATCATTGCCACATATTTCCTGATAACCAGTACCAGTATTGGCACCAACAAGAGAGTTATACCAATATGCAAAAAGGCATCCTGATAAACACTTCATACTTTTAATGGTCAATGAATGTGCATCAAACGTGCATCTTTCAGAAATGACACCTTTAAGATTCATTTGGAGATAATTTGATTTAAAATCTCAAAAAATGGACTGAATATAGTGTTGGTGGCAGACAGTAGGCCATATAGGTACAGTATGTATAAATACTAGAAAGTCAAGGATACACTAGACACAGCTCTCAGTATTACTATGTTAAACCAAGTATATTAATGACCTTTCACATTTACAAAAGTGTGTCAAAATTGTGTTTTTATTGAGTACCTTACTAATATTGTCTATTTATTTAACTACTGTATATTATAGAATATGGGAGAATATCTTACAATGTTGAACATTTGAACATAAAATCTTTATTTGGAAAATAGTCAAAGACATTAAGAAAACAAATAATCAGATGTGAATAAAATGAAATAGACTTTTAAGACCTACTTTTCTGTACCACAAGGACCAGTGAAAATGCAAAGGACCAATGAAAATGCGATGCCATGAAGTGTTCAATGAGTGAAATTTCACTTGTAACATTATTATTCTCTTTTTCAATTTCCTATGTCAAGTTTGCACAATTAGTAAGTCACCTTATTGAAACAAACTCCCTTTCACAAAGTTTATTTCTTATAGTCTGGCCTTAAATTGTAAAGAGGTTTCTAAACTTTTTATGTATATCGGGGATGCTGATAGCATCTATTTGCACCAGTCCAAACACGTTTTTATGATGTCACTAGAGGGGAGCTACGGAAAGCTACTATTAATATGTATTCAGTTCCCCTCTAGTGATGTTATAAAACGCTTTAGTTTTAGGGAATTGCATGAACCTCAGATGTCGGAATGAAATTGGTATGGTGTAAATTGATGCTATCAGTGTTCCCGATACACATAAAACGTTTAGAAAACCTCTTCACAATCCCTTTAATATATCTTCCTATATTGCTTACACAGGTTTCTAGATTTGTCTTATTCATTCATGTCCCTGATTTCCATTGTTTTTAAGTCAAACTAACTAATTGTATGCTGCTATGTTGTGAACTGACTGTACAGTATAATTTATCAATTCCTAATGGTCAAAAGTAATGATCGGACACAAAGTAATATATCAGAATAGAAAATCATCCATCTCTTTGAGAGCACTGGATCAGGCATGCGAGAATTCAGTATGGATCAATGTTAAAACCTATGGTACCTTATCACCTAGTAGACTATAATCTTACTCTCTACTGACTGAGTGTGAAATATTCACTGATAGTTAAAACTGGGTCATGTTGTGGTAGTAAAGAAGTTTCATAACAACATACAGTCTGATAATTATCTCCCATTCCATTGAATCAGGAAATGAGATGAAATGGAGTTTTACATCCTATTATTTTCATTCTCAGGGGTGATTCAAAGGTGCTATCTTAAACTATGCCGGTCCTGAATCTAACCCAAGGAATGATGCACAATAATCTGTTTATCAGAACTAAATTTATTACAAAAAACTATAGGCTACAGTAGGAGCCTTATTAGCATTCTGATTTGGAAAACCACAAAACTAAATATTTCTGCAACATAAAACAGATGAAATTGTCTGTAAATTAGGAAACTGTCAAATCTCTTGAACTGAGTTGATAAATGATCTGTTTATTTTATCAAATTCCCTATTTGAAACAATAGTATGAACTAATCAAAACTTTGATTCCAAAGAAGGTGCAACCAAAATGACTGAGCACCTAATGATCAAATTCAAAAGATTTTTTCACATATTTTATCAACATAATAAGAAGCAACGCTGTAATTAATAGAATATTCTGTATTTTCTAATAGCATCAATAAAACCATCCCTGTGTCCCACCCACCACTCTGCTTTCTTCAGAAGGTCAACCCATCGTCAACTTTCAAACCCTCCCCCATATTTATTTATTTTTTTTTTCTTTTCTTTTTTATTTTTTTTTTTTTATCACCATTGACCTTGTCTCATCCATCCATAGATATTGTGATTCATACCATTATATATCCTATCATAAATTTCAATGTACCAGTACATGTCAGTCTATACAGGACATTTCAATTTTAAATTTACGACATCTACATGTTTGTAAAATTATTTACAACCCATGATTAAAATGTATAAATTTACATGTAAAATTTATTTAAAAACAATGGTATATTAAATGACATGTAATAAAGGGCCTTGAAATCCTGTGAATAACGAAATATGCCAAAATTTCAAAATATTGCATTACTTTGTTTTATTATACTAATTAAGATAATACTCAATTAAACCCTTAATTATAAATTATTATATGACATTTTAAAACTGAAAAATTAATGAAATAAAATTGTAAAATGATATGTTATGTGATATATCCAATTAATAAGATAATGTTAAAAGAGGATTGTAAGCTGGGTTGGGTCTGGTCTATATATGTATATCAATCAACAATCTAAATACTATACTTACATCATCCCATTTAATAAACTTATTTCCATTTTGTAGAGAATCTGGAACCACAATAGGTTTTATTTGTACCACATGAACTCCTGGTTTTGCTCCTGCCATATTTTACATATATCTCTTTAATTATTCCTCCAATATACACACAAACATTTCGTAAAATAATGGCCTATATTCTAAATGTTTATACACGTCTGTTTAGTTTATAGATCCTACTCATCGTAAAGTCAAATCACGGTGAGAGAAAAGACAAGAGCCTACATTATAACGTTATATTAAAACCATCTAATACGAACGTAACTCACAGTAATAGACCACATAAACCGTTAGGAATCAGTTTATCCGTGCAATATCATTTATAATCCCAGTTTATAATGCACAGTTTTTATAGCCGTTATTAAAATCGCTCAGCTATTTCAGAAAGTCATATTCAAAGATGAAATTTGCAGGAGAGAATGTTGAAAGTAACATACGTCGATTCCAGTAGCTGCCGTGCTATATAAGATATTGGCTTCCACATTAAATTGTGTTGTGGTAGTGATGAAGCGAGTGAACTCTGCTGAAGGTAGTTTTCATTGATCATGTGACTTTGTTAAAATGGCGATAACTGTCAGGTGAAAACGGTTAAAGCGGCGGTTTAACATTAAATACACTACCTGTACTAAAATCAAAATATACACAAATTGATTACAACGAGCTACTTAATGTTGTATAGTTGATATTTTTTAGACGCTCTATTTCACATTAGGTTTATAATGTTCAAAAATAGTATACTCAAAACTATATATAGCTGTATAGTTATAGCCTATCCTATATAAATAAAAAAATCTGAAAGCCTTTAACATGTCTCTGAAGAGAAAGAAAGACTTATAATGTAAGTTAACATACATGAGTTCGTGTAGGAGCCAAAGTTCTATATATGAGCGTAGGCTGGAAGGGCATCAATGATTCAGACGACCATCAAGAATTTTTTTCCTCGAATTTTGTGCAATTTAGAATAATTGACTGTAATTTGGGTGTAGTTACAAACCTACATAAAAGTAAAAATGTTTGCTTTTCCACCCATTTTGATATATAAAGGCTTTTAAAATTTATTTTACCCTCATGGTTTTTAATATTTAGTAATGAACGACTACAAGCCTATTATAATTAAAGTACCTATAAGAAACTATGTTTCATTTCAAAGGAACTACGGGAAATATCTCTGTCTCACACGAAATTTCTCCAAATGGTAGCCTACTCAAACAAATTGACCAGGGATACTGAAGACTACTTCGTCACATCTTCATAATGTCAACTTTTTTATACCTTAACAGCAATAGCCAACTTTCTTGTATCAAGGAATGCAGGGATTTGATTGGATTGTACGCCCGTGACAGACTCACTCACAGAAAGACTGTAAACAACTGTCACTATTTAAGTCTTTGACTCCTTTGAATGGCATTTAGCAATTGTGAGTACGATATATAGACACAGCTTTACGTTGCATAAAACTTTAACAAGTGATTGTTGTTCCATAAGGCTGTGTCTATATAATTGTCACTATTATTGTGAGCCTTCTGATTGGCTGTATTCACTAACGTACAATCCGATCAAATCTCTGCATTTAGAGAGATACAAGATAGCTATTGCAGTTAAGGTAATAAAAGTTTGTAAAAGCTTCACATTGTGAAGTTGATTTCGTCAATGCTGCTTTAATGCAATAGATTGGAATTTCTTCTCATATTTATAATATATTATCTATATTGTGCATAGACTTGCATGAGAATTCATGCATATAGTCTGAATTTTTTCTAAAGGGATTTTATTTATTCAGAATAAGACTTGTAACATGTACATGATAAATCATCATTTATAAAGTTGCATGTTGACAGAAGTATTCAGACAGGATTTCCAGAAAAAGCTAATGTGTTATTTTTATAAATGTAGCAATTTAAATAGCCTTGTCGAATGTTATAGTTTATGCAGGCTTCAATTATACAAACGTTTTTAAGCACATTTGAATGCTGTTCTGCATGCCTGATTCATAATGAATGTTAAAGTTGTATTTTGTATAAACTGGCCCGATTCTTTACCTTTTAGTAAACTTATTCAGATCAGAATTCTGACTTCAACCCAAAATGATGTACTGTAGGCCTATGCAGGAATGAATAATGTATTTCATGCACTCTCAAATGTTTTTCTTATGCTAGCCAAAAAGATGTACTTTCGACAGGTCTGAATATTGTATGTTATGCGTATCCAAGTGCTGTACTTTATGCAGGTTCTATTGTTATACCTCATGTAGGCCCCAATATTGTACTTCATTCAAGTAGAGGAATATTTTACTTAATGCAGGTAGGAATATTGTACTTAATGCAGGTAGGAATATTGTACTTAATACAGGTAGGAATATTGTACTTAATACAGGTAGAAATATTTTACTTAATGCTGGTAGGAATATTGTACTTAATACAGGTAGGAATATTGTAGTTAATACAGGTAGGAATATTTTACTTAATGCTGGTAGGAATATTGTATTTAATACAGGTAGGAATGTTTTACTTAATGCTGGTGGGAATATTGTAGTTAATACAGGTAGGAATATTTTACTTAATGCTGGTAGGAATATTGTAGTTAATACAGGTAGGAATATTGTACTTAATACAGGTAGGAATATTTTACTTAATGCTGGTGGGAATATTGTAGTTAATACAGGTAGGAATGTTTTACTTAATGCTGGTGGGAATATTGTAGTTAATACAGGTAGGAATGTTTTACTTAATGCTGGTGGGAATATTGTAGTTAATACAGGTAGGAATATTTTACTTAATGCAGGTAGGAATATTATACTTAATGCAGGTAGGAATATTATGCTTAATGCAGGCCATTCATGGTGAATGTTATGTAGGCCTGATTTTTGTACTTTATGCAGGCTTGAAAGTTGTACTCATGCAGGCTTGAATGCTGTATTTTATGCAGCTCCAAATATTATACTTTGTGCAAGCTTGAATATCGTATAAAATTGGCCGTTGTACTTTATCTGGACCTTCTTTTACTCAATATTGTCGCTTTCGGAAGCAATTATTTTTACTTTCAAGGACGATAAGACTATATATTATATCGCATCCGAATTTCTCCTCAAACCGTGCTTTCGATTATTAGCCTATATTGTATTTACAATGACTCTCATTCTAGAACAATAATATCTGATTGTCAATAATTATTGATTAGTGGACCAATTGATAATTAATATATTTATAAATAAACCATACTCTAACTTGTACGACAACTATCTTATGTAATATATTGAATAATACCAGAAGGTCTATGGATATATGTCACGTGATAATGATATATAAATAATTTTGTTTGATCCTATGGTATATGATCAATAATACTTTACTAGGGTGTGGTAAGACACACCCAACTCATCTCAGATCTATATCTACGAACCCATTTCATTATTTTGGTTTACAGAAATGTCATGTCAAGTCAACGTCCGTTGATTTGAATGCAATTAATTTTCAAAGTTCCCTACTAGATTACTATCCAGTGATGTAATGATAGGCCTACACGTATTCCATCGAATATTCATTTCATCTCTCTTTTCATTAGCAGCAAATGTGCTAAAAAGTGTTTTCAAAATACTATCAGAACCGATGCTTCAAAAATTTCATGTAAATATTATAAAATAAAGGTGTATTTTTTTTAACGAGAGCAAAAAGTATTTCGGACTACAAAATCGGATATTCCGAAAAAAAATAAATGCCAAAGTATCCAGGCCGTAGAAAGGCTAGAGTGTCATAGTGGGAAATTATTTTTAAGGGGGTCTAACTATAGCAACTCAATGAGTCACCCAAGTCATCTAAATATTTTCAACATAGATAGCTTACCAGACAAGGTAACATACGCCCACATACGCCCACTGTCAGAAATGATAACAAAGTCTGTAGTGGATTGATAATGAATTTCCAAACAATCTTAAAAATATTTATAAGTCAAGGCGAAACCTCAACAACAGTTCATTAACTTAAAACATGAACAAGTCTCATCAACGAGAAACTCAACAGCAATAGCTCTGAAACCGTTCATGCGCTTATTATCAATTTTGAACTTGACTGAGATCTCATCAGTAAGCATACCAAGTTTCATCAAGATCGGATAAAAACTGTTGTCTGTATTGTGCCTACAAGCCAATTTGACGGTTTCTTACAAAGGCAAGGGTAATAACTTTATGGATCCATTCTTGCCCTATGTTTTCTTTAAATATGCAACAGGTTAATTTTGTTTTAATATTCTTTAATTTTACTACCAACAACTATCTAGTTTGCGATATCACGATCTGAAGAGAATGTTACTTGTCATCTACCAACCAACCAACCCACCCTTAATATTCTGTAAATAAAATCACTAATAAGGGGAGATAATCACTTTAACAGAATATAGCAGCAAGTGTAGTGAGCTTGTCATGAATAGAAAAATATAAAAATATTTTAATATAATTAAAGCAAAATTCGGATACAAAATCCACAATTAAACAATACAAATATAACAAATAAAATCTAGTATAACAAAGATTTTGATGCATGGAATATATTGTTGTCAAGTTATAGTTAACAAATTCTTAATATTTCAAGTTAAAGAATAATGATCCTTTAGTTTGTTAAGGGTAGTACCAATCTAACCACGGAAATGAGAAATAAAAAATATCAATGTATCATAACATACACTTAACATACCCTTAAAGTACTCTGTTTAAAATGTTTTGAAATATATCTATAAAATTACAAACTTTTAAAAAATTATTTTCAAATATAAATGCAATTCCACTGGCTAAATGTTTTGCTTTCTGGTATCTCCACTTGTCAATGCTTGTAGGCCTATAGTGGTTTTGCATCATGTATATGAAAATTGAAAATACAGCAGTTTTTACTTCCATTGTCCTTCTCTCATTTTTCGGATTGTTTTATTACCTAACTTCATACCAATTCTACAATAAAGAATACAAAATTAAATCTCAAACTGAACTTTCAATCTTCACACACATACAACTATCAACTATAGATCTGTCATAATATTACTTTATTTCTAATATCCAGTAAAAAAACAGTCTATTTTGATTGATGGATAGACAGGGGAGAATAAATCCACAGTTTTTAGCAGAGTTATACAAAGTACTTACTTTCTTGCTATAGATGGACAATATTGAAAGAGATACATAAAAAATAATATTGGTTGTAGAGCAATCCAAACTTCATCTAATTTATTAGCCACTGCTACAGCCATTAACGATGCACATCTATCTGTAGTCACACGTTTATCTGTGGGAGACATTGTTCCGCCAAATTCCTGACAAATAAACACACATAGTTCAAATAGGTTTCAAAGCAATACATCTTTTAAATGAATAGGTGCTTCAATTTCTTTATCAATCTTACCTTATTCTCAGAAACCTTTTCAGCTGAGCCAATCAGTAATAGTGTTCAGAGCTTACCGACAAAATTTTAACCTTCAAATCCATAAGTATTCAGAATTATCCGCGTTTGAAAGTTAAAAAGATAAGTCGTCTTTTTGGATTTTCATTCCAAAAGGAGGGAAATTGCATGGTTAATATTCAGTTTATGGTGCCAAAAAACTAACAATGGAAGATGATTGAGAACATATTTTCCTACTGTATCACTCCAAACTTTCAACACTTCTAATTTACAACTGCAATTTTCTAAAAACTCATATTTTATTTGACATTACATTACCTTGTCCTTTTCTTCAGTAAAAGCTGTAGAGAGAATATTAGAGAAAACTGGTCCAGGACAAACCATTGTTATATCTATATTATATTCTACAGCTTCTATTCTTAAACTTTCAAACCAACCCTGTTTACAAAATAAATAGGACAGTTTCAAGTTATACTTCCAGCCATTTAATGTACTAAAAACTCTACATGAAACTGCAGGATCTGATAGATTTGAATTAATTACTGATTTTCATTGATTTCAATACCTGTAAAGCATGTTTGGTTCCAGTATAAGATCCTGATAGTGGAGCCCCTGAAATGAGAAAATAAATGTAATAATATCTAGTTTTGTCACTTTTATCCTCATGTTTTCATAGCTTTATTATCCTTTTAGTAACTTGTTACAATTCTTAATCTAAATTAATGTCAATGACCATTCTACAACTGGCTCTCATCAAAAATTCCATGCCTTGTGGAATGAATTGAACTGGCTGTCAGTTGTAATATTTCATATAGTACACACCCAATTTTCCTGCAGTACTACTAACAACCACTATGTGACCTTCTTTACGTTCTACCATGTAAGGTAAAACAGCCTTGGTTAATGATAGTGTGCCCAATACATTCACTTCTAACAATTCTCTGTCTACTGCTAATTCAGTTTTAAACCATGATGCTCTTTGGCTTCTACCAGCATTATTTACTAATACATCAATCTACAAATAAATCATATAGTACACTTTTCTCTACCATTTTCTATATCTTATGGAAAAACCTGGCATTTCTTCAGAATAAAGATTGAATACATGGAAAACTGTTCTCCTTATTATGACAAAGAATTTGACAAGTTTTTCAAAAAAAAATATCTTTCACTACATATTAGTTATTTAATTAGTTAATTTATGATGATATTGAAAAATAATTTACTCTTTTATGTTATAACTTCTGTTATAGACAAATGAAGTTCAATATGATGCAAATTTTCACTTGTTACCTTTTTAAAATGTTGTAGAGCCTTTTCTACAGCTAGTTTATGACTGTCAAATTTTAAAATATCCAAGGGTAAAACTAGAACATCTTCATCTTTGACTGGTCCACTCACTGAAAAAGAACAATAGAAAATATATTGAGATTAACAAAAGGTCTTTTAAGATCTGAGATCTGAGGGCCACAGGCAATATAAATCCACTGTTCCAATATATCATTAGCCTTTTGAAGACAGATGTAGTCATAATTCCCTTTTTTTGTGAAGCTCGACACACACTCAACATGAGATAACGTACACAAACATTGCTTCTTGACTCTATTTAGTTCTTCTTCTCTTCTAGCTGATAAAATTATTTTACAACCAGCAGCAGCCATTTCATAAGCAAAATACTCTCCTATACCACTTGATGCTCCAGTTATCCATACAACTTTATTACCAAGTGCAGCTAAAATAAAACAGCACATTATCTCATTATCTGACAGTTTTTAAAGTGCAAAGTGTGACTGATTGACAGTGAGATTGAGATTCAATCAATAAGCCTATTTCAAAGTATCAAGAGATCAAATGCCTTCAAATCAAACGTAACTTTATTGTTTTGTTTCTAGAAACATTTTATTTCAAGGTGTTAAATTTTACTATTTAAACAAGAACTTACCACCATAAATTAAGTAAAGGTTCTATAAATATATTTAAATATCCCACATACACAAATTATTACATGACTTCAGTAATCATTCAAAGCATCAAAAGTGTCAAGAGATCAAATGTTTCCTAATCAAACTTAACATTATTGGTTTGTTTCTGGAAACATTTTATTTCAAGGAGTTAAATTTTGCTATTTATACAGAACCAAAGGACTAAGATTCTATCAGGGCCGTGATATTGCATCCCAATATTCTCATGAACAGCTCTGTAGTAAAAAGTCTCAAATTGCAGACTCTATTTTGGTAATATATTTGTTTTTGAACAATTTGAAGATATTAGTTATGGACAATTATAACTCTTTTGCTTACCAGCAGGTGATTTTCCCATATATTGTGTATATTGTAGAGTCAAATCACAATCTGATCTGATAAATCTTAGGAACTGAATGATGACAATGATAATCAAAACAGCCACACCTAATGTTAGAATGAACATCTTCTTTGATAATACTGTAAGAAAACAGTCATAAATTAAGGCATTCTATAAACATATCAGTCATCAGTGTCCCCGGTGACATAAAACAACTTGAAAACCTCTTTACAATCCATTTAATAACACAGAGACAGCTTATTGCATACACAGATTGGCAAAAAGTCTAAAGCTTCAGAAATGTATTTTTCTTAAGTAGATCAATCACTAAACAGTATCGGTTACAAGATCGAAATGTTTTCAAGCTCAAGATAGAAATTGGACCCCACTTCAATTTTTACTGAAGGTCTATCCTTTCCTATCAATCAAAATCATGTATCCACCACCGACAGTTACACCTGCGCATATACAAGTTCTTACAATATCTATGATAAGCCCAAGATCGAAGTTTGATTCGAAAAAATGAAATCTGCACAGCTAATCTACAAACAAATTAACTTATGTCAGGTGCTATAAGAAGTTGTATAGTGGGGATTCCCGATAGGACAATCCTATAAATTCATAGGGAAGTACAAGAACAATTCTTTCGTTCTCAGAACAAAAACAACACTACTGAATCCTTTTTCAAAACTACTCATAATATTTAAGTACATAAACAAGTTAAATCTCTCGAGAATTTCACATATTTATCTATTTCCTACTTTCTTTTGTCGCCTATAAAATTCGATTCTACCTTCTTCTCATAATGAATTCCCCCAATCCCATAATTCTCAGGGGATTCTCCATCACGAGATAAACAAGGTAGATTTTCATAGATAACCAAAAAAATGCTCGTTTTCTGATTTCTTTGCTTCCGTGGAAGTTTTGCTTGTCCATAAGCTTCATTCTCCTTCAAAGATCAACAGGATATGTCCATCTAAAGAGAGTACTTTGTCTTTGATTAGAATGTTACAACGTGTTAACTAAATAAATAATTTGTTACGTCAGTATACAGTTCTACGGTTGCATTGAAATGATAAGCCATAAATAGCCTTACAATAATGTATTCCAATGCTGAAATTCACAGTCCCTGCTTGTGATCTAGGTCAGTGCTTCTATAAGAGAGTTTATCTAATAAAACCTTATACCAATGTGGGAATAAGAGGCCAAGAATTTATGATGTGTAAGGAATGTATAATGACACAGTGTGTCAGAATAACTTACCTACTGCTGTTTTTAATGGTACTATGGGTGTTGCATAACACACAATATATAACAAACTGGTTGAAATAGGCCTATTAAAATCAATTGTCAGTGCCCATTGTACATCAGATAAAGACCGACTATGAAGTAAAATTGTTCAATCCTTTATTGAGTTTGTGTAATATGTGGCATATCAGTAAACTATCAATGAAAGTTCGCACTGTGTGATCTATATTTGCAGTCTCCAATGACCTATGTACATATCAATGTTTCAAATAGTACAAAAACAATTATAAATTTTGATGTTTTTTTTTCTTTTCAGAGGAATTATTATAACTACTGATATTTGACTGAACAATGCGATTTGACTTTTAGCATTCATTAGAACAGAAAGTTTGAAATACAAGTCAACATGGAGGGCAATGAAGATTTAGTGAAAACTGTACCACTATCATCAGTTTGTAAGATAGATACTATCAGCAAAGAAGATAAACCAACAGAAGAACCAGCATCTAATAAACCTATTCCACAAGAACATAATCAACTTACTAGCTTACTGTCTCAAATACCTAAAAAAGCTCAAAGAGATTGTTGATGCAGTGTGATTTGATATTAACATGTGTAGATGTCACTGATGATTATATAGCATTAGGTACTAATATTGGACTGGTATTTCTTTATAACAGAATCAAACAAACTATGGAAAGACTTAAAACTGATGTAAGTTATTCTAATTTAATGCCCTTGTGTTGCAAATTGTAAATAGCTAGATAGGCTAATCATTTACTTGTTGAATGCTTTGAACATTAGCAGGTGCTCTTTTGACCAATTTACCCGTATAATTTAGATTGTTAACTCAAGTGATAGAATGTTTTTATGTTTTTATTGCTTTACACTTCTGATTTGAAATTGCGAGTCCATGATATATGATGTTATAGCCAAAGTTGTCTGTTGGAAAACAAAACTGCCCTTGGTGCTGCAGTACTTGACCGCAAAATCTAAAATTGTTATGTGATTATTATGTAGCATTACTCATTTACAAATTAGTTTTGACGTTATTCTTGCTTGACTAGAATATATAGTAAGCTATGAGTACTTTTCAAGGCAGTCGGACGAAACCTTTTCTTTATATTTTCAGTCTACAATGGATGTTATTACCTGTGTAAAGTTACATCATGGTTTAGATTATCAATTAGCTATGGGTCTATCATCTGGTTATATTATAATCTATCTACTACCTTCTAAAGCATTAGATAAAAATAAAACAGTACGTACTACTGTATACTTTTGTCAGTGATAGATCTTGATTTCATTATCCATGACACTTTTCATAATGAAGATATGATGTACAGCTCTACTCCAATCAAATAGAAAACTTGCTGTAAAAGTTTGAACTCTTTTCATAACAGTAATATCAGGAATGTCAATAATATCCCCAAGGAGTCTAGGTTTCCAAAGTATGTTATTGTTGAATAGCAGGAGAATCGACCATTGGATTGATTTCTTAAACGAGTTATGGATAATTAGAATCAAATTCTTATCAGCAGATAAAGCGAATATTTACACAATTATACTCCTTTTCATGTAAAATGCTGCTGTAATAAATATGATAGTTTGATTATTATTATAGTTACAGAAGGTTGATATTAAAGATGTACATCTAGTAGGTATAACATATATTGAATGGAGTACTAATGGTATGAAACTATTCTCCGGTGATAAAAATGGAAGAGTTTTTGTGACTAATGTTGATTTCTATACTGTAAGTGATTATTTTAGTATATAAGTCTTTCATTGTATGCTACAGTAGTTTAATGAGCAAGATACCTTGAGCACTATAATGTGAAATTTCTTACATTGGAGACAACACAGTCCATTTCATTCAGATCTTTCAACTTGAAAAAACTCTCATAAATTGATCAATTTGTTTTTCTTGATTTAATATAGAAAATGTTGAAATGCTGTGATATAACCCAAGAATAACCTTAGTCCTAGAGCACAAAGCACTGCCAGAGACATCCAAACTGTATGATTCTACAATCTCTGATAGATCATCATCGCAGAATTAATCTGAGACCAGGGCTCATTTTGCCTCATTAGAATTAAACTATTGTATTTTAGAGTGAGTTTAAGTCTGAAATATTATTAGATGAAGATAAATCAGATAGTGAAATAATTCAGATAAATTATGATCATAAAGCTGTATTGATATCTACTAAATATAGAAGTCAAGTTGTTAGAACAGATCTGGAACATTCTAAACCAGTACAAATTGGTGTGCAGGACAGGAAAATGTGAGTAAAATAGAAGTTTGTAGAAAATTGAGTAAAAAGAGTAAATGACAACATCAACCATGTAATCCAAAAATTTTGAGTAAATGGCCATAAGCACATGTTGTTTTAAAAACTATTCGAAGTTGTCTCAGACCATGAGAACAAATACCACTTGTCAAACTTCAGTAGGGTTAGGGTTAGATGAAATAGGTCAGTTGTTTAATGATCGTATAGCAATATGTGTTAGGTTCTGTTTTGATATTTATATAGTTTCACTACATATGAAATTATGAAAGTGGTTTAAAATGTTATCTTGTAGAACTGGTAATTTTGGAGCTTGTTTTATACCTGAGATGTGTAAACCAAGTGATGCTAAACTCTATGCCTGCCGTCCTGGTAGTCGTGTATGGTTAGCTAATATAGGTGGAACTGTTCTTAATACCTTTATATTTAAAGATGTTCTGTCAGACACCAATCCTATCATTCCAATTAAAACACTAGAGAAGAATAAGAATGCTGATACTAGATTTGGGAGAGTGTATATGTATCAGGACAATGAGATATTAACATATAATAATAACACAATGTTCATTATTGAACCATCTACTAGCCAAATAATAGGTGTTCAAGATAAAATAGGTGAAATAATTGATTTAGCTGTCAATCGTGATGAGATATTTGTTTTAAGAAAAAACACTGAGTTGGCATTAATAAGATTAGCTTATAAACCAGAAGAAATGAAGCGTAAGTTATATTTTGTAATATGATATGTCTGTGTTTTTCCTCGGAAACTGTGAAAAGAAACCTGAAATTTAAAGCAAGTGTTTGACAATTCATTGTTAACAGCTAATGAACTTTTCATATGAGGAAGTATAAACTCAAGTAATGGTTATTTCAGATTTCTGTTTAGAGAAAAGTAATATTAGATATTTTGATGTGTAACAGTTGGTCAAGGAACTAATTAAGCCTGTCTGTTTTCTGTTTCAGATACAGTCAATTTACCCCTGACTCATCCAACACCTAGTCCCAAAGATGCAAGTCCTTCTCACACTCCAGCTACAGCCAGTTTCACTAAACTCAATGAAAGTGCTAAAGGTTTTTTCCAAAAGAATGTCTTTGATAAATTCAAGCATTTAGATTTCAAACATGGTTCTCGAAACTTACCAGAAGAAAGCTCAGTGAAATCATTAATTGATGGTGAAGAAGGTCAAGTCGTTTCTCCTGATTTACCACCAGTAGTTCAACTTAAAACACCTGATTTAACAGGTCTTCAGATCTTTCCTGACAGAGAAGCTTCACCTTCACCAGAAAAAATTCCATCTAATACTTCATCCCCCACTAAAATGCCTTCAACCATACAATCTCCAGAACAAGTCAAGCTACAAGTATCAACAGAAGATCGTTCTAGACCAGTAACACCAGTCTTTATTAATGAAAATCTATCTAATCTAGATAGTCAGATATCTCAATCCAGTTCAGCTTCTAGTTCCTCTCAACGCTTAGTTGATAATGATATTGTGTTTAGTCATAAAGTTAAAAAAAAGAAGAAAAGAGGAAAAGCAGGTAGGTTATATAAGATACACGACATGTAATTTCTCAAATTAAAGAGGTAGTTTGTCTAGATGATGATATTCCGATTTGATTCTTTTTTGCTTAGGAATTTTTCATTGTGCTAACCTTTGATAAATGCGGTTGTTCCTTGAAAAGCCTTGCAATGTTTCTGGTATTCTCATTTGAAAAATGGCTTTCACTGATGCAATGGCTGCTGCCTTCTTTAAACTGTACAGTGTAAACTCCAATTTAAAGAAATGGTTATATGCTCAAACATATAATTGATAGTAGTTCAACAAAAATGAATCTGTAATTTTATTCCTTTAAAAATAGTGGAATGTGATAGAGTGTTCATGCATGTCTTTAAATTATTTTCCAGAAAAATTGAAAGAAAGAGATGATGATTCTGATGAAAAAGTCTCCATAAAATCAACAGAGAGTATGACTAATTTATCATCTTTAGACAGTGAACAGAAGACCTCCTTTTCTAGCTTAGTCAATGATGGCTCACCAACCAGTGATAAGGGATTAAATGCATTAAGTCGAGCTGATGACATTTTAAAACGTTCTTTAGCAATTCTAAAAACTGATGAACCATCCATTGACACTATTAATTTGGAGAAAAACAAAGTGGAGAAATCCGATCCAAAAACAAATTCTACACCGGCTGCTAATGCGACTGAAAAAAGAGTAGAAAAAAATGCAGAAAAAACTGAAGTGAAATTGGATCAGTTCAAAGTGAATAAAAAAGACAATGCCATTGTGGCATCAGAACCAAGTAAAGTTCAGGAATCTAAACCATCAACAAGTAAAACTCAACATCCAAATGAAAATAAACCAGAAGAGAAGGCTCCTGTCCTAAGTCCTTCAGTGAAAGATGCAACCACCAGAGACAGCACCTCTGATTATTCTGATGATATTTACTCAATTTATAAAAATCCTTATTCTGATTCTAGTTTTAGTTCTGTATCTAGTCCTCAAACCTCCATTTTGTCTCCTGAAACTGAGGCTTACCTGTCACAACCATCTGCCTCTAAACTAGAACCCAGGAGATTAGAATCTGTGGAAGGGAAAATGGATTTAACTGTGAATATATTTGATGAAGTGTCTACAGGAGCTAATACCTACAGTTTGTGTGTATCAGAAACTCATATTTGGTTCACTGATAAATCAGAAAATATTTACTATAGTAGTGTTTTAGGTCCTAAAATTGTTTGGCGTAAGGCTGCCGGTACAGCAAGCCAAGTTGCTGTGTCATCTAAAGGACATATTGTGTGGAGGTTACATAAGAACGTGGCATTTGCAGGTACAAAACTGACATCTAAGAGACCTGAAGGTTTGAAATGGGTAGAAGCTGTAAGAGATGTAGCCTATGTAGCTGTGGATGATTTCACTGCATGGTAAGTGAAAAATGAACATCTTACTGAGAGTTTCAAATAGACCATTCAGTTGTTGCTCATATGATTTCAATTGATTAAATTTTTAAACCAAATCACAGTAGATTGTCTTATTAGTCGAAAATCTATGAATAGAAAAGTATTTCTTTTTAGAGATCAGGTAAACATTTTTCGTGTAGTTTTCACCAATAACATCGTTAGACTGACAACAATCTAACATTCTACACTTTGTTTTTTGTGCTAGATTGTATAGGAACCATACGCAGATTTATTTCTGAAACAGTCATAAAGATAGCTGGAATTGAGCTATTATATTTTTATTAGCAAACATTTACATACTTCTATATATCATGAAAACAGGTATGAAATTAACGCATTAGAAAATCTATTTATAATATTTCAGGTATATTAAAGTTGATGGTAATATAATGTTTCAGAAAGGATTAAGTAAAGATAGACCATGTTTTAAGTCTATACCTATACCATGTGAATATAATATCAAACAGATAGCATGTTATAATGGTGTAGTGTGGGCTATTACTAATGATATGAAGTTAATCTATAGACAAGGTATTACAGTAGATTGTAAAGAAGGAACATCTTGGGAATTTGTTGATTGGTATGTACCTTGTCGATTCCTTATTTAGTCTTAGCAGTATTTCTGTTCTTCTTATCTTATTTTCTGGCTAGATAGTTTTCAAACCTTGCCTTCATTTTAAACTTATATTTCTGTAATGTATATGGTTAACACTGCTCATCTACAGGATTTGTCGAAACTTTCAGAAATGTGAACATCACTTTCTTTCCCATAAAATATGATATTCTTTGTTAATCCTAATGAGTTATTGTTATTATTGTGTAGCGGTGTAGATTCGTTATTATTTGGTCATGTTATATTAGAGAAGAATAATGGCTGGGCAGTAGATGTATTAGGTGGTATATGGTTTGTATCAGAGGTTACTAAAGACAATCCTATGGGTAATTGTAAATGGTACCAGGTAGGTTTTCTTTTTTTTTGCGTCAGAATAACAATCATAACAATAATTGTCTTACAATGGCATATATGATACATAGAGCAACATTTCATAAGGAAAATATAGGTAGGCATCTTTTTGGTGTATAAGGTATAACACCTAGAGAGAGCTCAAATTAAAACCCTGTATTAAATCTAAGGATGCTGAATAGTGTTAATGCTGTAGCTCTGTTTTCTGATATAAATAGTATGACGAAACCCCAATTGTTAAACCTAGTGATCCTTAATATTTAAAATGCTAAAGCCTATCCCTATTTAGTTTTCAACTAATTTTCACTATACTCAGTGTTAATTTTTCGTTTTACGAACTTAATGCCAAAGTGAGGGATGTAATACACTTTCTTTTGAATTTTATAGGTACCAACTAATGAATATTTCCTTCAAGAATCTACAACATTAGATAATTTGAAATCATTAGCTAGTAAATTAGATCCTCAGAAATTAAGTTATTTAATCAGTTCAAATCGTGGTGGATTAATAGCAGTGAATAAATCTGGCGTCTGGGTTTGTCCTGAATATAAAAATATTCTTCACGTTTGTCGAGGCAATATACAAGGTATTTATATTTGTGTCTAGATTGTGAAGCTAAATAATTTACTGCAATATTACGAATACAGTGCACAAGAATGTATAATGCACATCCCTCCTTACTGCTTAGTGAATCGAAAAAACTCTCAATCACTACATAAGACATTGGCATAATAACCTAACAATACTGTTTAATGAAAGCACCGGCCTTAGGTTACAGAGCAATATATAAGCTTATTAATTATGTAAAAATGAGTTAGTCATTTTTATGACTATAGTTGGAAAGAGACAAAGACACACACATACACACCGATGGTTAGTTTAATTGTCAAGGATGAATCTAAACATTTAAATGATGAGTGACAAGATTCATTGGGGTGTTTCATGTTATTTTGTAGGTTTTAGATGGAGTGAATGTCCTCCAATAGGAATGGCTACATCAACAGCCTGGAAACATGTTTGTGCTAATCTCTTGGATATAGAATGGGGTAAGTCTTATCATAATCTGGCAGGAATTAAAGTTACGTTAGCAGTATGAGATTAACTATGATAAGATGTTAACTGTCTGTTATCATGGGCATAGTCTTGTATATTAAAACAATGAGATCAAAATTGCAGTAAGTAGTATATACCCAGATCACGTTAAGCCCGTAGCCAGACTTGATTAAATTTTTCCGGAGTGGCAATGGAGTATGGTGTTTGGTTACAATAATGAAATTTATCTGTCGTCAGAATTATTTTGCATGGAGCAATCCACCCCCCCCCCCCCCCCCTGAATCACAAAGCAAGAAATATAGTTTAATATGCTTTCAAGGCTAGTTTTGTTAGTTAGAAAATTATTATATGCTAAAGAGCAATGAATAGCAGATACCATTGTTTTGATCTACTGTCTTGTATATAAATCTCAAAGCATTACTGATACTGTGTTTTTTAAACCAGGTCTAGTATGGGCACAACAACCAAATGGTGATATGTATACATTTCCACCAACTACTAGAAGTGCTAGTATGGTAGCTTTATCACCAATGATGATATGTTTAACTGGTTGTAAAGATACTGTTTGGGGTTTAACTGTGGAAGGGCAAGTGGTAGCTAGATGTGGTATGGGCAGATATTGTCCACAAGGTTCAAATTGGATGACATTAAATTTATCTCAGTTAGGTCAGTTTTTTTCCAATTTCTTAATAGGGTTGAAATTTAGAGAGATCCTTATTGAATAAACTGATTGTAAAATCTATTTTAGTGACTGACCAGTGACTAGCAGAAATTAGTTTTGTGAAATTGGTGCATGATACCATGATACAAATGAGTGTTCACATTGATTTTGATGATATTTCAGGTGATGCTCATCTGATCCATATAAGTTGTAATAATCAGTATATATGGGCAGTAGATGCTAGTGGAATGGTATATCAGAGAATAGGTTCTAAGGCACCAACAAATCAAGAACTAAGTCCTGTATGGTTACCATTAGATTCATTCAGTGGTATTGTGTTTAATCATATAGCTGTTGGTTTCAATGATTGGATGGTAAGAATTTTTTATTTTCTTTTTTTGAAGATAATTTGAAAAAAAAATTCCTCTTTATCCCATTGAACTAAAGCTTTAAAGCCACAAACTTGATATAATTGGAAAACCTAATGCTAACCAGGCAACACTTTCGATCTGGTATTTCAAAGCTAATAGATCATAACCAAAGTCATGTCCTCATGTTATTTGCCATATGACTAAAAAAATACATTGTTTTTCAGGTGTGGGCAACTGATAGTAAAAAGATGGTTTATGTTAGATTGGGTATTACTGAGAATTTACCTATTGGTAAAGAGTGGCGTCAAGCACCAGGTATGATATGTTTTCATGTTCTTAAAGGCTTTAAGAAAAGAACTATATTCTATATACATTCCTTAATATCTTACATTTTAACTAAGCTAATCAGTAATAGTGTTCACAGCTCATCGTCAAAATTTCTGCTTTCAAATGCATGTAAGAACAGAATTATCTATGCTTGAAATTAAAAATAATGACTCTTTCTTGATACTACACCATATAAAGAAAAGACATATATAGAAAAAGAAAGTGAAATTTCTAGTGAAAAAGTGGATTTTGCAATTTTTGTGCAGTTCTCGCTTCTGAAGACTATTTACATGACTATTTAAGACTTGTTTCACATTTCTGGTATTGTGAAAAGAGGGGAAATCCTCATCAGTTTGATGGAACACAAGATTTGACTGTGTGGTTTGATGTATGAAAGAAGATATATTAATGATAAACTATTTTGTAGGTATACATGCTGTTAAACTGTCTATCAGTAAAACTGGTGTGTGGGCATTAAACCAACAGAATGAAATATTCTATAGATATGGTATAACAGAGAGAAATGTTCTAGGTGATTATTGGAAAAAAGTTCCTGGTCTCTGTACTTGTATATCAGGTAAGTTGTATCACTCTCAGACTGAGGGTTTCTGAAGAGAGGAAGCCTTCTTATTGGCATGTATTTTGTTATCAGAATAGCTGGTGTGGAATGAAGATATTATCATACTCTGTTGATACAAATACTTTATCTGTAATGTTTTATATAAAAAAATTCAAAATGCTTTGATGTATACTTGAATTTTGGGGGAATAGATGAAATAGTTTATTAGATATTACATACATTGTATTTGAGGAAATTATTTGGAAAATTATACAAGGTCTATTTCATACATTATCATATAATATTTTTGTATATTACAGTATCACCTAATGATGAACTATGGGGAGTCAATAACAATGGTAGTTTATTACAGTGTCATTCCAAATTTTTACAGAGACAGGAAAAAGTAGATGAGATTGTATTAAGAACACTGAGTGTTGGAAGTGATGAGGGTGAATGGGAACTTGTTTAATTTCATTTAAGACTCATTGCATTATCTGTACTTTGCTTCTTCCATTATTACTGGTATTTATTTTAAGTGTCATATAAAGATATGCAAGGCAGGAAATTTGCTAAAATTTTGTCTGATACAATACGTACGAGTGAAATGATTTCTGGGCTGTGAAAAATTGTAAATGTTAAAATCACATACAATGCTGTTAATATGAGTAGATTTATAAACTAGGTCTGACTTACAGCAGAGGTCAAAATAAATCAGAATTGTGACATGTAATTTGCTGTAATGGTGAAAGATTATTTCTGCCTCAAATGCTATCTTTGGAAGAATATTTAATCTGTAGTATGGGTTAAAAGTCTATTATGTCAAACATAACATAGAATTAGGCTTACATTGGTTTTCAGAATCAACTATTGTCTGTCTTCAGTATAAATATAGATGTATTGATATATCCATGTACTATAACTGTGTTGTCCATCATGAATACAATATTTGTAGATGATAGTCAATATATTAGACAATCATTTTTGTGACCATGTCTGGTTGTGGTGAAAACACATGATTATTATATTCCATTGTAGATGTATGCCTTTTTTCATTTCAACTCAAAACTGTTTTTGTTTTCTACCTTAAGTTGAGTAAACATGTAATAGATAATCCAATCAAAATAAGATAAGTAAATTCTGATAAAATAGGTTAGGTCAGCTTTGTCTTTCTAGGTTTGTGAAAATTTATCAGTTATGTTTAAAAGTAGTGCTCGAAGAAAATCAGGCGTTAATAGCAGGGGGCAAGACTGACTCAATCGGGGAATCAAGGCTGATTTCAAAATACAGCAGCTCTGTTGAGGCATCTTGTTGCAAGCCTCTCATGGTGTGTCTGAGAGGGTTCTCCCAAGAAAAATTTCAACCCCCACTGGCTCAGCCACTGTCAATATTGTAGCTAGTAAATACTTTTAAACTGTAAATTATGGAGTGGAAAAATCTTAATAATGCCTAATGTGACCATATCCATAATAAGAAAATAAGAGCAAGAGCAATTACAGTTTTTGATAATACACATCTGATCAAATTCAGAGCATCTGGACCCAGTTTCTCAAAAATTTACACTTATGGGGAAGAAAAACATTATTTTTGACGTTATCAAATCGTTAATTTTATTTATGCGCGTACGTTAATCTACGATATTTTGAGAAACAGAGCCCTGTACTTTGTAATGGTAAAAATTAATGTTATATAATATTTAACATATGGTTATGGAGCTTTGTTAATGTTGTGCCTATGCTTTTGCCAGTTACTGTATTTTGTTTGTGTTTATGTAAATCACAATGTGCTTTAGATATTGTTGTTTATTGTATATACAAAATGTTATTTTCTGTGATAAATTTATTCATTTTTCCAGCTTCTTTCCCAATTTTTGACAAATTCAATTTCTTGTTTTATTCTGTTATAAATAATTCAAATATAATATAATTGAAATAAAAATATAATTAACATTATTTAATGGTACCGGTAGAAATGGCATTTTATTTGATTTAATTAATTTATTTGTAATTCATCAGTGCTGTTACATGGTTGAACCAAAATGACTTATATTATCTCCTAGAATTATTTACATACCTTTTGAAATGAAATTCAAAACAGATAGTTTATCCATTTATTTCATAAAAGAAAAACTGTTTTAAATTTTTATTCCAATAAATTGAACTGTTAATTTACAGAGAAACAATGCATGTAAGGTCTAAAAAATTGTTTAGTGCTAATTTGATATGATATTGAACCAAATCATGATTATGCTGCCATTATTTCTTTCTAATATATTTTGTTATTGTGATTTCAATTTGTTATTCAATAAACTAAATTTTTAACATTTCCTGTCACTTTGCATTTGCTTTTGTACTTTTTTAAACACCCAAGGGTAGAAAATTTCATAAAATACAGGCCTTTAAGATTTTCCAAAGGCATTTTGTAATGTATAGTTTATAGTCCTGCTTTCTCTTTCCTAACTTATCAGTGAAAACTGTCAATTTGCCTTGTAGCTCAGAATACATTTTTTTTTCATCATATGCAGCATTTGCTGATAAAAAATCTGCTGTTGTTTGCAGTTTGGAAAAAACTTTTATGGAGTAATTTCCCTTGATCAGAAAAGGGAGGTAATAACTGAAATTTCACTTCAAAAGTCCTTCTGCAAAGTTGAAATACACTAGGTGATTAGGCCTAAAATTTTAATATCGTAAGTGATCGTGACTGTTTGATATTGTTTATCTTACCAAAGCGGAGGGTCCTTCATAAGACGAATTTGACGGGTAGCCGATCCTTTCCCAAATTTTTTGTAACTCACAACATAGAACTGTGCATGGGTCTAGGCTACAGTTCTTAGACCAAAACATCTGCCATTACCTAAATTCAAGTCGCTGAAAACTATTGGACAGATGTCAGCTGGTTTACAGACAGAAATAATAAGCCCTGTTAAATGGGGACATTCCACATCTCCGCAAGTACTGGGGTTTTAAACCTCTTCAAATAGTTTGGATCTGCAATACCCAGGTATATTTGGAAAGATGAATATTTTTGTAGTTCAGTCATACCATCACTGTCTCCCTACCTACACCATTTATGTCATGTCCCTGGTTCCATCAAAGTTTTTTTTGGCGAAACATCTAACATTGGCCATTTAAATCTGCAAGTGCAGCGAAAAGTGTAAAAGTCAGAGAGTCATGTGAAACTAACAAAACAGTTCTATGCATGCAAGAAGAATAAGAATGAAGATTAAGGGAAGGGTGAAAAGATGGCTTCAGACCACTGTTTCATGTCCAACTCCTACCACAGAGTTATATAATAAATCTGACTAGACTACCTGACAGTCAAAAAAACCCAATGACCTGTTGTCTATAATCTATTTGATATTAGACTGTTCAACAGAGGGCTCAAACTATTAGGCTCTATATAGGACTTTTTCTTTATTTTTGTTAAGAAAATTGAAATATCAGCTTCAAAATAGTACTGCTAGTCTGTATTTGTGTTGATAAATATATAAACATTGTGAATTTCAGTTGAAAATTGGAAAATCTTGACAATCACTAGATTTGGTTTTGTAGGCTACTTACATCAAATTACAACAAAATCATCTTATCTGATTTGGTGTACTGTAGTCGGTGAACTAAATTAAATAAGTAATTGATCTTTATGAATTAAGTAAGTATTCTGTGAAATGTACAATAATCTCTGAGGAAATTGACCCTAGTTTACCAAACGGTTATTGCTATTTTGCCAATTACAGTACCTATATGAGGTGTTGTAACCTCTAAGCTAATCTTTAGGTAATCTTTGACCCTTAAAAAACTCTATATAAAGAATAACCTGTGTAATATAAGTTGAAATAGTCATTATGTTGACAGCCATCATGGAGGTATACAAAAAAGAAAATTACATTGTTTTGATTGAAATTCAGTGCATTTCAAAGTTTTAGATTCAAATTGTTTGAAAGGGATACAATTTTTATTATGTCCAGCTGCTGGGACCCTTTTGGCAACCCTGAGTATCTGCCTATAAGACACTGGATCACAGTAAACATTAAAAAACACCATTATAGTGGTAACATTTGATTTATTGTAGATTAACTAGATTTTCATTATGAAAGGAGACTGAAATTGAGTACTTTGCTTAGAAAGATTGAAAATATTCTAAGTGGATTAATTAAAACCATTTGTGTGTAAGTTTTTAAGTTGTAATTATTGAGTCTTTTTTTAATGTATTAATTTCAGTCAATAAGCTTAAAAAAAGCAATATGGAGGAAGATGAGACTAATGTGATAGATGTAGGTGAGGTACAGTTTTTAGGTAATGAAGATACAGAATCAGAGGAAGAAACAACAGATATGCATTATCCTAGAATACCAGAAAGATGTGGCCATATATCTCAATGTATTGGAATGAATGTTTTAGTTTGTGGTGGATATCAGGTAAATGATTCATACGTTTTTGAGATCTGACAGGAATGTAGTTGTCTAAATCTCTTTTCCAGCTGATAAAGCTAAATTTTAGCTGCAATCTTCAGATTTTAATTTTTAAAATCTTCAACATCATTTTTTCTAGATTTTCATCAAAAACAGCTGATTATTATTATTGGTGTTTTTAATCACTTCTGTTGATTAGAATCAGAATAAAACTATGAATTGATATTATATTTAAGGATGACAGTGTAGAGAAGTATTTATCACCATGTGATATTTGGGTTTATAATTTAGAATTAGAAACATGGTAAGTGATTAATAGATTATATGTGTTGAATTGCTGTAGGGTTTTTCCAGAAACCTTGACCAATATGAGTCAATTTACATCTCTGAATGGACTGTGATAATTTTGATAACAAAAACTGTCTGTTTTTGTCCAGCTGCTTGTGGCCACATTGCCATGTGAACTAAAAAGCTGATGCTATTCAGATAAATGGAATTTATATTAAGCTTATCTTTAGGTGAAATAACGTTAACAATATTATGGTATACACGTACTACTCTTTAGTTTTATTGTACACCCCCTTTCAACAATTTACATTGTCATCATCAAGTAATTGTGTCCATTTCTTAATGTCCCAACCCCCCCAAACCCCCCCTCAAATGTCAGATTTTTGTTTATATTGTTTACTATAGGAAATTACATAAAAGTAGAGGAGAGGTACCAAATGGTATGTCGGGAAGCTGTAGTTGTGTTTATGATGAATTTTTATATGTGATAGCAGGACATTCTTATGAAGGAAATGTGAATACTGTACATAAACTTAATTTAAAAACTTTGACATGGTCTAAACTAACAGTGTTGGGTGAAGCCTTAAGTCCTAGAGACAAAGCTACATGCTGGTGTTATGATAATAAGTAAGTAAGCTTATTGTGTATAAACTCATAATAACAAGTAACTGCATTTCGTTTATTACGTTAACTATCATTAATTTGATTATTGGTCAGTGGAGCATTCTAACTTGAGAAAAAGCAACATTGACAAGGACAGCTTTGAGTTTTGTGTTTGCAACAGCTGCAACCTTTAGATAATCTAAAGAATTAGTATATTCGTTCTTTCAGAATATATGTTTTTGGTGGATTTGGTGTTCCATTAAATCATTATATTCACGACCATGGTAATTTTGAATTTGATCCAACTTTACAGATGGTATGTTTTATAATTAATAATAATTATGATATGGACTTATGTAATGTGACACTGAGGAGTTGTCCATTTGTTTTTTGACACACTGTCTACATGGGTATTTTATTGTAATTTTTTATTAAGATTTCTTATAATTAGCAATTTCACAAAGATAGTAATTCACAGTTCGTACATTGTTTGTTATTTGTTTAAATGTTTCTATCTTTAAAATTGTCAATATCAGTATTATAAATGTGAATTTATCAATCAATATGTTTTCTATGTTCTTGAATAATAGCGTGATAGAGGATCATTACATAACCGAGGTTGGAATAATCAAGTGGTTGTATTTGACATTAAAGATGAAACTTGGTCAAACCCAAAGTGCAAGGTATGTGTCAATTTTCCATTAAGGTGCAAAATCTGAGTTTGTACTTTAAATATAAATAGCTAAAAATGGCTGAAATATAGATGTTGACAGGAGCCTTGACAGGATGTGATTTCTTAACAAGAATGCTCTTGAATTGTTGATTCCATTATTTAATTTACTAGGGTGTTTTACCTCAGCCTAGAGCTGCCCATGCTACAGCTAGAATAGGTGATAATGTTTATTTATTTGGTGGAAGATATCTATATGATAGATTGAATGATCTTCATTGTTTAAATTTGAAGACTCTAACTTGGAGTGGAGAGTAAGTATAATAATATCAATTGATTCAAGGTATTTGTTCTTTTCAACTATATAAATAGGAAACATACCTACCTAAGCAATGATGACAAGAAATTGATTATTGTTGAACAAAGTGACAGGCAAATATCACACTCCAAAGTATGCTTTTCAAGTAACGCAACTTATTGCTTTTAATAAAAACGTTTTTATCTGCCTTACACTACAAACTTCATTTTTATTCGCCCACAATTGCTTGTAAACACTCTAGAAGGCACAATTCTTGACTGATTTTGACTAAACTGGGTATGATTGTTTGTAATCACCCAAGGATGAACCCAAATGAAAATCCAAATTTGTTATCATCCAAATCAGAAAAATCTAAAAATATTTAGCATGAGCACTGCCCTTCAATTTTTAGCCTGTAAACACTCTAGAAGATTGAATTATTGACAGATTTTGACGAAATTGGTGTGAATGTTTGTTATTAACCAAGGATGAACCCTATAGAAAATCAGAAAAAAATTTAGTATGAGTTAGTGCCCTTGTTCTTAGAAACGCTTTCAAGTTTTGGCCTGTAAACACTCTAGAAGGCCCAATTCTTGATAGATTTGGATGAAACTAGTTATTATAGAAGTGTTTGACTGAAGGTTGAATATTTTCTACTGATAATTCTTTCTGTACTGCTAAATATTTTTATTTAAAAGCAAAGCTGCCAGTGAGCATTTATTACCTTGCCTGGCAAGCTATTTTAACAATATTAAAGATGCCCTGAGTGTTAGAAATTTGTGATAATCATAAATTTTTATCTCAAGAAATTTTGAAAAAAGGGGATGTTCATTGAAAGGTGAAATCCCTTTGTCAATTGTATAAAGGCCTATTTGTTATATAACTATAAATGTATTTTGTGATTTTAAAATGTATTATATATATAGATATTTAGATTGTTTTATAAAATTTCTTATTCTCTAGGTTAAATATAAGTTCTAACATACCAGTTGGAAGATCATGGCATACATTAACTTCCGTATCAGAAAAACTTTTGTTTCTGTACGGTGGTTATACCCAAAATCAAGTGCCTTTAAGTAAGTTATTAACACTACACCATGTTTTATGTGAGTCAGGATTCTGATTGACCATCTTAAAATGGTTGGTTTGATGCTTTCAAATAGTTTAGCTCTCTCACAGATAGATGTCAGTATTTTAAAATAACTTTCATCTTCCTACCAAAAGATAGACATATGTAAAATTTTCTACGAAATATTTCTATGAGCATGTGAAACAGACAAGGTTACATAATAACACAAACAAGTAAAGGAGGGCCCCAACAGATTAGTTCTGCAGTATTTGTTCACCAGATAATTTTTGTTGGAAATTATTTCTCTAAAATGAGAAATTTAAGCAAACATAATATGATGTTCTACTCGAGATAGGAAGAGTTAAATTAGTAAATCTGTCATGAAACAGCAAGCAAAGCATCTGATATTGAAATATCAATATTAATATGAAAAAGCTTACATTAATTTTGGTTAATTCTAGGTGATGCATGGGTTTTGGATGTGATAAGTTTACAATGGACACAATTAAATGTTCCTATCAATAGACCGAGGTTATGGCACAGTGCTTGTGTATCACAAGAAGAAGATATTGTTATATTTGGTGGCTGTGCCAGTAATATATTAGATCAAAGACAAATGACTGTAAGTGTATTATTCACACCTGAATATGGTGTTTCATTTCTGGAGGAAAGTGGATTCAATATTATAGAGACTACAGTTTTTATCTTATTTTAATAAAATATGGGGTGGTTATTTAAAATGATGAGATCTTGGTCTTAATTAAAATTGACAATTTTTTCGATGAACGTTTTTTGAGTTATTGCCCTTGACTTAATAAAAATGGTCTAAAATTTGTTTTTGAAGAGTATAGACACTACAGTTTTCGTCTGATTTTTATGTAATTTGGTATGATCACCTATTACAGTTAGATCTTGGTAAAGAATGAATTTGTTAAATTTTCGATGAACAGAATTTGAAATGAAATGAAATGAATGGAGTTTTAAGTCCTACTCTTCTGCTCCTTGTTGGCTAATGAAGTCGGGCAACGCCATGCAGGGTGCCATGAGGGAAATTTTGCCAGGACAGCGGCATTAGTCTGCTCTTTTTCGATTTCCAACTGTCGAGGGATCTTTAACGTGCACAGCCTGTAGCACACGAGGCCTCGGTTTATTGTCCCATCCGAACGACTAGACGCTTTTTCCATGTCAGCCCCTCTTACCTGCATCACTGACAGGGGGAAACCGGGTTGAAAAATCCGAAGGTATTATCTCGACCTATGCCGGGATTGAACCCTGGACCTTCAGGTTAGCAAGCAAGCGTCTAACTCACTGAGCCACCGCGGCTCCCTGAACAGAATTTGAGTTATTGCCCTTAACTTTGGTGGCATGTAAAGGCGACAGTTTATGTCAGAATTTTATGAAATTTTGTGTGTTTGATTAAATCAAAGACATACAAATTAGATTTTTGGTATGATTTGATTGATTGGCGACTGCCCTTTGATATACTGAAAATTTATCAGGGAAGTGGGTGTATCTTGATAGGCAATCACTTGTTATAATATGGTAGAAAGGTCACAAACATAGAATTCTATAAAGAGTGATATATAAGATTTTCTTCTAATTATAACTCCATGGTCACAAAGAAATCTTATAACTGATACTTGACTTTTTCTTTACTTAGGCACATACCAATGATATTATATGTTTTCGAGTCAGTCCTAAATCACTTCAAAGGTAAGGCAACAGTAGGAGGTTTTGAAATAATTTTTTTTGAATATTTAAATTCCTTTGATCCTAGTTTAGAAGAAGAATGTCTAGTAAAGATCAGTTGATTAAGTTAACTCTCAATACATATTTGCACATATGTGCATATTAATTTTACATTATTTTCAGATACATTTTGCAAAGATAATTATAACCAGTGATAGGAATTAGGATCAAGACATCAAGACAAAATTTAACATGGCTGATTAAGTAACAGTTTATTTTTAATGAATATTGTCCATATTTTAGGTTGTGTTTTGAAGCTGTATTTTCCATGAAGGATAAAACCCAATCGTCATGGGAGTTCTTGCCATATAATATTAGAAATATGTTAAATGATAAACTGAATATCAGTCAGATGAATAACCTCAATAGAAAGAAAAGAGTGAGGACAACATCATCCTCGTCTGCAATCAGTCGGAATACAACATGTACCATATCTTGATGGTTATTCTGTAATATTTTAACTGTGTGGATGATTAGAAGATGTTGTGACAGACTGACTAAGAAGGGCAGCATTATGGTGAAATAAATGGCAGAATCACCAAATGTTGCGAATTCTGTTTTGATTGTGCTTAAATCTACTAATTGGTGATGGTGGCAAGAATTCTCAGAAAAAATCTGTTGATGCTTATTGATATGAATTATTGAAACACATTTTCTAAATTTTTGATGTGTATTGGGGACACTGATAGCATCAATTTGCACCATTCCAATTTTCAATCAGACATCTATGTTTCCTGCAATTTTACAAAAAAAAGTGTTCGCTGATGTCACTAAACACAAAATAAGGCCCTACACGATTAGTGAAATCATCGAACACTTAGTTTTTGTGAAATTGAGGGAGCCATAGACATGTGATTGAAAATGGAACGGTGAAAATTGATGCTATCTGTATCCCCAGTACACATGAAAAATTTAGAAAACCTCTTTAATCACTTTAAGAGATTTTCTTTCAAATGCATTTTATATGCCAAAATATGTCCTTTAATGGAATTTATCACGTTTTGTAGCCTTGGTTTGTGTTTAAGGGATTGTTATAGCTTCTATTTAAATTTCCTGTATGATATATTTTGGCAAGTACAATGTAATACCTTAATGTGGCTACAACCTAAGGACTATACCACTGTCAATTCAAACTGAAGGCTTGCTATACTGGCAGTGGTGCTTATAATTTCCCAATGTGGGAATCGAGGGACAGTATGACATCCAGGCCCAGCTTCGAAAAAGTATGATTCTATATGCTAACAGATTTCATTGATCAACCAGTATGTATGTGTAGCATATGCAGTCTTCCTGTTTTTCACTTAAGGAATTATGCAATAAATCCGCTGAAAAGTCATTGAATTGTAATGTAGACAAACTGGAGAAAATTAACCCCCCCCCCCAAAAAAAAAAACATTACTAAATGGAATTAAAAACTATATTTGAATCACATACAAGATATATTACAATTGGAAGGAACAACAAGACAAATTTGAGGTAGAAATCTCTTATAGAAATCTTTTATAGACATCTTGTCCAGATCTGTAGTTGAAGTGTATTTTGAGATTACAATTTCCCCCCCCCCCCCCCAAAAAAAAAAAACATTACTAAATGGAATTAAAAACTATATTTGAATCACATACAAGATATATTACAATTGGAAGGAACAACAAGACAAATTTGAGGTAGAAATCTCTTATAGAAATCTTTTATAGACATCTTGTCCAGATCTGTAGTTGAAGTGTATTTTGAGATTACAATTTCAGCGCAGATCTCAATTCAGAAATAAAGACCTCGTTGTCTAGTAAGATATATGGTAGTACATAGATTTTATCTTTTATTTTAACTCTATAAGGCCTCTGGTAAACTTCTGCTTTTTTGTAAAACATTTTCATTATTAAAAATGTCATAAATTATACCTATAATTTGTTTCTTAAGTATGCTAGTTATACTTGAGCCAACAGGGTTAATTAAAAAAGTTTTCACAAATTTCAGCAATAAACATTTTTGACTTAAAAAAAGCAAAATGGGTCTTTAATATAAAGTTGGACAAATTTTCATAAAAAATACAAAAGAATTAATTATATGGAGTTTTAACTTTTCAACACTTCATATAAATAGATACGGCACATTGAAACAAATATAAGTTGAGATAATAACATTATATAATATAGATGTTTGTCACAAAATAAACATTGAAATAAATAAAGTTTTCTAACTTTCCTTTTGTCAAAGACTGTCTAACTTTAGTGGGGCCAATGAGAATAAGACAAGGTTATCCCCGAGGATTTTCAACTTGCTACTCGTAAGTAAGGCAGTCTGTTAATTATGATAATACATGTAAAATATGCTCTGAACATGCAATAGAAATGATAAAGTACTTGTTCAAATTAATTTTTTGATATTACTGACTGGTGTAATTAGGAAAACATAATTTTTTTTATTTCATAGTCCTTTTAAGACTTATTAAGAAAATAAAAAGAAAAAGGCTTAAAGATAATTATCAAGGTTGAGTTATTATGCCATTTATCCCATTTAAGTCTATACCACACTATCATAACACATTTTTGTAATCAAAAATTTGTAAACAAAAACTGGAATAAAATGTCTCATATCAAGGTGTTTTCAATGATATATATATTTATTTTGGTATAGTAGGATAATATACAAGACCATTTTTTGGACAATCTTCAAGGTGAAGGTCATTCCCAATGTCTTCTTTAAAAGATTTAAAAAACAAAGTCCTAGGTCTTAGCTTCAAACAGTCAAACATTTGAAATTGTTTGGAGTAACACACTTCAATCTGATCTAAATAGAATTCATGTTTCTTACTTCTGTAACATCCTATAATTGGAGTAATGCCATTCAGCTTTGTTTTTAAATCATTTAATAGTTTACGAACATCTAATGTTTTATTATCATCTGGGTGATAATTCAACTGATCAAGTATATGAGTTAAACTGATCTGTTTATAGAGAGTCAATCCTTGCAAAAAATACAAATATTCGTTTGCAGTTTTGCTGACATTTAAGGCACATGTTCCATGTTTCATCCATTCATGTTTCCAAAAGTCATCTGGTGAAGTATCTTTAAATAAATTAGGCCAATACATTTTCAGATCATTAATTAATGGTGAAATAGCATCATGGTGAAATTTGGCAGATTTGTTACAATTAGCAGGTTGGTCTTCACTTGCTCCTTTACAAGATGGCCACAATCCATGAACAGTCCATGCAGTTTCATTCAATACCTTATTACAAGTATGGCCTAAATCTGCACCTTGTATACAAACTGTGGCAGGCCAAGCTTGAGTAAATGTAAAATATGAAAAATTTCCATGATTATGATGTTTGCTTTGATGTAAACTTTTTGTGATTACTCCTCTTAGTTCTACCACTGACACACCAAAATAAATCAACATAAACAAAAAACACGGTGTAAATAAGGTAACCATTATTCAATTTACTTAATGCACTCAAAGTCCCTATTCGAATTCGATATATTTAAAACACCGAATGTCTCTTTTCACCTCCCAAACGTCCAAAAGTGTAGAAGTTTATGTCAAAAAGAATGAACTTTGATTGCGTTGTTGACATTATTTTGTACGCTATCATGTGACGTATTGACGTCACTTCTGGTTTCAGGTCAAGGTCGTCACGTGACCATCAATTCTCTACGATCGCTACAATCTAATAATGCAATGATTGTAGATGAAATAATGATTTCTTTTCTGGACTGAATTATTGCTTAATGTGACTGGTAAACAAGTAAGTGTATTTCATGATCAACTGTTCCGTTTTCCGGCACTTTATTCTTTATCTATTCGTGCAATTGATAAAAGATCAAATCAAAAGCTAAACAAAATACCCAAACAAATTTTGGCCTAAGCTTGGTGGGGTACATGTTATGACAGTCTTCAGCCCAGGAGGAAGTTCTTGCTCTTCATTGCTTAAAGGATTCACTTATATTTGCTCATTTGACATGGTCTTGCTTGAAGGAAAACAATAAAATAGATTATGGCAAATTGGAGTTTATATTGTAAAGTAGGCTATGTAGGCCTAATTTACTGCTTAATATCGGTGTACAGAAATGCATTTTGCAAATGCAAGAGACTCTCAAATTTAAGCTATCTGTAGCCAAAATTTTTCAATTATTTAACCATGTTTTTGACTTGGATGTTATACATTTAACAGTGAGATCATGAATGATTGGTCAGATTATGAGTATTGATCTTTATTAGGCCTAAATGAAGATCAAGGTGTTTATGTTTTACATAAGAGTAATTCATAGTAATCCACTATTTATTATGGTGTTAGTTAAAGACAGCTTTGAAGAGACTTTCCTTCATGAATAAAATTTATCATATTTTATATATAAGCATACTCTTTAGGAAAGAGAATAACACAAAAGTACATAAAATTTAGTAAAATAAGGTCAGAACTATAAGAATATAAGCCAAGGGGATTTTGGGTTCTGGTCAGAAATGTGTTAGAGTTTTACAAATTTCACTGGGGAGGAACCCCAGACCCCATGCTTGCCGTTTCATGCCTTCAGACACTGAGATGGTCACAACTAGTTTGCAAACTGGACTTCAAGTTTTCAATAATTTGCCATGGTCACAGTGACGGGCTTTGCCTTCCCCATCCTGAAAAAAGCACCAAGTCACTTTGGGCGACAGGGGTAGGATGAGTATGAAATTAATTGAGGAAGTTTGTTCTGGTAATACATGCATTAAGACAATGATTTGAGGTGTGGTTTAAGAACATATGGTTATATTATTCAATGTGGTTTATGTTTCAATTCCATGATTCATCTTCCTATTTCAACATTTACATCCTTTCAATCTGCCTTTTAACTTTCAATCATTATTAAGTATGTAAGAAAAAACTTTCTTTAAAGTTGAGTTAAGATTTTATGTGATTTTATTTCAACAATTTATGCATACCAAACTTGATTTTTACATCATTATAATAATGTTTGTTTTCACTGGATTTTCAGGCCTATGAATTACCTTACTGGAAAACTTTTAAAACTTGTATAAGATTCTCACATATAAAGGAATTGAGATAATTTGGTTATGTTGGGTTGTGCTTTTAATGATGATGTTTAAACCTGTGTTGGTCCACTGTGTTTTTAGATATGACGTATGATTTAGAACTATACACTATTGAATAATAAAAGTATTAATATTTTAGTTTCCTCTTTCCATCATTCAAATTAGTTCAGGATTATTTTTATCCACAAACTGTAAGTAATGTAATGAGTGGAAGATTTGTAAATAATTAATTATTTAATTTATTAGTTATTTATCGATGATATCTGAAAAATGTTTTGTTGATAACTCGTATTATAGAAAGTTTGTTTAAAGTGTTAAATTAAAGGTCAAAATCGTTTAACGACACCTTGTTAATTAAACAAGTAAGTGATTTTATTTCCACAATTTATACATACCAAGCTTGATTTTTACATCAGTTTCAAGCTTTCTAAATGTGAAAAAGAAATTGAATTTTGTCTCTGTAATTTCATTTTAAATACATTTTTCTTCTTATCACCAAACAAAACAATGTTATATCCAGACATAAAGCTGAAGATAAGCTTATTCTACATTATCATAAGATGATTTAGATTTCTCTATTTCATAGCTCAACTTGTATAATAATAGAAATAGGCTCAGCATCACCTCAAATAGATAGTTGTAATTTTATTTCATAATGTTTATTTTAGTAATGTTTGCTTAATGTTGTAAGTACATGAACTGCCCTGCAGAGTTTTTGTCGGGGATGAATAATAAGACTTCAACCTTATGATTTAGGATCACTTACATTGTTCAAGTAGACCAACATGTTTTCAGTTGTAAAATCATGTACTGCCTAATGTCTTTAATCTAAGCTAGGCAGTAAGAATGATAGCATAATTTATACATCTACATAGAGATTAATCCTGCTGTGTGCCATAGAAAACATGCTTCTTTGCTTAATCTGATATTAAATGATTTGTGTCTAATTCATCTTTGATACATGTTAAAAAAATAAACATGTGTTGTGCTCTAGATTTATAGACATAGATGAAATAGTTTGAATATTTTAATGTGTAATTTGAGATGGGACGTGTGAAACACATGTTAGATGTAATTTTTTGTCTATTCACCTATTTAATAGGCATACATTCAAGGTTTACACATGCTTCTGAAATAGCAATATGTTATAATAATATTTTTCATATATATTTAACTAATTTAATTGAAGGCCAAATGAGCTAATTATCCTCATTATTACAAATTTCTCTGTTTTGATAACAGGTATCCTATTTACAATATATATGTTCAACCAGTTTCAACACATGGGAATAAAATTTAGCTGGGTATGATTTAATTACATTGACCTCAATAAAATTTAATTAAATTCTAGTCACACTTTATATTATGTTATGGTTCAGATCAACTCATTCATGCGCTAACTTTCATTCATTCACCACTGGTGTATCCGTTTTGACAGTTGTATATAAATACCTATCTGATAGCAGCCATTTTGATGGTCAGTATGTATATTTTTGTATGAAAGTAGTTTGGTTGTCTATTATAACTACTGTAGGTGAAGGTATTTATTTGTCTTACTGTGCAGGAAAGCATATCTAGTTTTCAGCCAGGTGTTGAATGAAGTTAAACATGATCATATTTTTTTCTCTTAAAACTAAGATTTAACTATGCGGTGATTCATTGTAAATTTTAAGAGGTCGGTTTTTTATTCATTTATTATAGTTTCAACTATTAATTATCTTTTATTCAAAGAAAATTATGATATGATTTGTTTAGTCTGAATGAATTTGTATCTTGATGAATAATGCAGCACAATTTTTCCCTCAATCGTGAACATTTTTTAGAAAATCCAATATTTTGCCTCTGCCTCTGCCTCAAAAATACCAAACTGACTGGTGCAAATAATTTTACATTATTGGTGGCAATGAAACAAACAAACTAACACACTTGATGAGTAAAGTACAAAGCTTCTTGGACATTATCAACCCTATTGTTATAACAGAGGTCATGACCTAAAGTCAAACTGTATGGTATTTAACAGTGTACAGATTAATGTTTAGAAATACTATTGATCTATCAAGTAATTGAATTCAACATGGACCTGTATTGTTATATTCATTAGTTGTAGTTAATCTGTTTTTAATGAGATTCAGATTAAAACTTAAGTTGAAATCTATGAACAGATTTTTAAGGTTGAGCTAGGTGTTTTCATCACTCTTACTTGAGAAGTTTTTGCTTTTTATTTTTTTTTATTGAGCAAATCTTAAATCTTTATATTAAATACTGATATGAAAATTTGTTCTCAAAATTGTCGATTGTTATGAAAAAATATGCTTTAACTTTTGTCATTATCCAATATATGAAATTTAGCTTACAAATGAAAGCCTTGAATTCGATGATTGCATATCTTGATGTTTATTGTATCTGTTGGAATTCAAAATGTTTTAAAGGTGTTGATCAAGGCCCAAAGGAATGGATATGCTACAATATTAGATTCATATTACAATGAAAGTCAGATGTTTTATAACATCTTGTAAAGCATATAATAGATTAGCTGTCCTGTCAACTCTGTAGAATTTCTATTTCTTTCTTAATGACAGCATAATTACTGTGATGGAAGTCTAATGGCAAGTAGCCAAACTTTATTCTATATCTTATTATTCTGCTATTGGACTGATTGCATGAGAAGACCTGAGACAGAATTAGAATCTGGTTGAAAAATCTCAACCAATCAGTTAAGAAAGACAATTTATTGTTAAAAATCATAAGGTATTAAAATTATATCTGGACATTAAAAGTAATGTAAGTTATGTTGTGTTAAACTTTTAACCAGTGTTGGTGTCATTCTAAACTATGTCTATACCTATACATTAATAAACTATCTGTAATAAGTTGATATTGGATATGTGATAGCATGTTACCACAATAGATAGATCCAGCATGTTTGAGTAAGTCATGTAATGTTTCTTCAAAAATAGAACTTTGTTGCAAGTAGTTTTTATTAATTAGCTTTCCTTAAGTTGCCCACACACGGAGAGAAAATGGCTCAGCTCTAATTACGCTCGACTAGCAGTGCTTCGTGTGCGGGTAATTTTTAGTGTGCATTTGGCCACTCGTGGTGGTGTGGAAAACGTCTATCATGTTTGATATTTATGACCACCCGTGGGCAATGGCACACCGCGTGTGGGTAACTGTGCGCAACTTTCTCAGACGACAAACACAACGCGCATGCGTCATTGGTATTCAAATATGGCGGTGACCAGTGAAGAGGTGATAAGTTGAGGATAAATTGTTGAATTATGGCAAAATTACCCCTGCCTTTATGATATCTGATCGCAAGGAGACAAGGAGAAGCGTGACTATCTGTAGTGGCCTGCCATATTGAT